TGAAGGACACAAACCATTCCAGGGAGGTTGTTAGTAATAGCAACTCATGGCAGTTGTGACTCTGTGGGTCAGACTGACTAGATGAAGAAATGAGGTACTATTGTTTTCCAGTGAGGCTTGGAAAAATCCGAGATCCACACAAAATGTGGCTAAAATGTAGCCCCTGTATGAAAGCAGCTGAGTGCTCTCGAAGAAATGGTTTTGTTGTGTAGGCAGGGTGGGACAGTAGAGAGAGAATGCTTACTGCATTTGGAGTCAAGATGAACTGAGTTCAAATCCCAGCTCTTCTGTTTACTAGCTGTGTGACCTTGGAGAAGTCTCGTAACCTCCCTGGGCCTCAGTTTCCTTTTCTGTAAAATGAGGGGGTTGGACTCGATGGCCTCAGAGGGTCCTACCGGCTCTAAGTCAACAATCCTTCCATTAGTCTCTGAGACATTACCTTTAGCAAACTGTGGTAGTAGGGTTAACATAATGGCTTCAGAATAAATTGCACTGGAAAATATTTGGCTTTCTGTACGACTGATCCTGCGTGTGTATTGATTATGATGTACCCCCGGTGTACAAGACGGATTGCTTTTCAGCTTCTGCAGTAACGTGGGCTGCCTCTAACTAACAATTTTATTTTCTCCTCCGTGCTGTCTGACCCTTCCAGCATCGATCTGGGGGCTTTGGGTCACCTCTGACCCTCGCTGGGTCTCAAGATCAGATTCTTCACTGGTCAGCTCATGTTTTTATGGTCTTCTCTGTGTTATAAGAGAAATGTACTTTCTACTGTGCTGGAGAAGTCATGGAAGAGCTCAGTTGCTGCCCCCTCCCTTCCCTTCCCCAGCCCCCTCCCTGATACCTGCTCCCCGCTTTCTTTCACCTGTCAGGAAAGGTCATGTGACTAATTTATGATCTCTTTGGAAAGGACACCGGGTTTCATGAACTTCTCCTGGTCGCATCAGATAATCCCTATTGAAGTCATATTGGATTTAAAATGGAAAAATCAACAACGTGTTTTTATCTTCAAACCTGCATAAAGAATTAGAAGTGCGTGTCTGGCCCATGGGTGACCTCTACATGCGGATTTCTTTTCGCGAAACCTTATTGCCTAACATGGCTTTCATCTGTGTATTCATAGTTATTCTCAGAAATGGAAGGGGACTATTGATCACTGCACAGAACAGCAGCCGGTGTTTACCGGTATATCATTAGTGCCTTGTTAATTAAAAAATCAGGGGCCCCAGAAACCCTTGGATTAAAAGGGCGATGGATTAGCCAGTATCTCGTTCTACCTGCAAAAGAGTAGTGATCTTCCCACACCTGCTTCTTTAGACCAAGACTGTATTTTAATAAGTTATCTGTTGATGAAGAGGGCCATGGAAAGGTTATCTTCCTGAAAAATAGAAAGATATAACGCAGCCCCATCTCTCTTCTCAGGATGTTTTAGAAGTAGCTTATTTATCTTGAACTGAGCTGCTACCTAATTTCTAATACAAATTATATATTTTCTGGGCCCCAAATTTAAAAGCCCAGTATCTTAGCTTTGCTGAGAAAATCTCATTTAGGCAAGTTTGGTTGCTAGGTGCTTTATTAAAAAAAAAAAAGGAGGCAGGGAGGAAGGAGAAGAAAGGAAGGAAGGAAGGAAGGAGGGAGGGAGAGAGGGAAGGAAGGAAGAGAGAAATAAAAAAAGAAAGAAAGAATGAAAGAAAGATGTCTAACTGTCCCAGGCCATCCCAATTAAACCAGTCTGTTGTTTGCAGGTATGTCAGAGGGCAGCTGAGGGTCAGAGAGGGTCTCTGGGGCTGCTTCTTATTTCTTACACACCAGGCAGAATAGAGCTAGTTTGGAAACTTGCTGGAAACGTCTACACAATGACAAAGTGGGTCATTTTCAGGATATTTTTGCCCCTCACTCTTAGTCATTCTGACTTGTGGGAAGAACATTGGCTTAATGCTTAAATGGAAGCTCCTTAAGAGCAAGGATGGTTTACAGACATTTGCTGTATTCATATATATTACACACACACACACACACACACACACATATATATGTGTATATATATATATATATATATATATAAATAAAACTTTTTTTGCTATTTCCCTAGCCCAGCGCCTGGCACACAGTAGGCACTTAATAAATGCTCATTGTCCTTTCATGACGTTGGGCAGGTTGTTTGACCTCCCTTTCCTCATCTATAAAGTCACCAGCTACCTGGTCATGCTTTCACCCGTCAGAAAAGGTTATGTGACTAATTTATGATCTCTTTGGAAAGGACACTGAGTTTCATAAACTCTCTTGGTCACATCAGATAATCCCTATTGAAGTCATACTGGATTTAAAATGGAAAAATCCACATGTTTTTAACCTTCAAACCTGCATAAAGAAGTGGATGGATTAGGTAACTGCTGAGGTCTCTCCAGGTCTGGATCTGTGATTCTATGATAAACACGTGTCCGAAGGCCTTAGATTTGGGGGCAAAGAAAACTTGGTAAGGGAGCAAAACACGTGAACTTTTAATACTGGTTGAAAATAATAGCTAGCCTAGATTCTATAAGCTAGGGTTCTTCACCTGGGGTCCAGGAACTTGTTTTTTTTTTATTTTAAATATTTTGATAACCGTATTTCAAGAAATTTGTTTCTTTGCATTCTTAAGCATTTTATTTTATATATTTGAAAACATGATTCTGAGGAAGGGGTCATGGGATTCCCCAGCCTCCCTGCCTAAGGGAGGGGTCCAGGCCACAAAACAAGCTAAGAACCCTTGGAATTAAATCCATCTGTTGATACTCTTACTTTGAGATGTAGTTTCTATAGGGAATTCCTTTGCTTGAAATCAGGAAGTCAGTTCACTAGAGGAAAGGTGGTCTGAGTCTCAACTCTTGGTTTCTTGTTATGTAGATGATCTCGATGCCTTGCAGGAAAAGCCCAAGACATTTTTGAGACTCTATTTCTTAGTCCCAGTTCTAGTGGCAATTTAGCGGCTCCTGATCCCTACCAGAAGTCAAAGAACTTAGCCTTCGGTGCTGTGTGCAGAGTGCCTGGCACATAGTAGGCACTTTAAATCAATGCTATTTGACTTGCTTTTGGTAAAGTTTACTTGTGCTGTCCAAATGGCCTGGGCAACTTCTGCTTAGATGACAGAGTTCCTCCTACTGAAGGCCTCCTCTGATGCCTCACAATGATGTGGATATGATCCTGGGTTCTTGAAGAACATGCAACAACAATGAATGTTCAGAGAGGTCTTTGCCAAAGTAGAAGGGCTCTTGGCACTGGAACCACAATGGCTAGCTAAGTTTTTTGAAAGCCTCACCACTGGGATTACAGTATCATAAGCCTCCAGCTGGAAGGGGCCTCAAAGGCCATCAACTCCAAGCTTCTCATTTTCCTTGCAGTCCCACATGACAAACCACATGCCGGGCTTTTCTTCCCAAATGTTCCATAGATATCTCAAGTTCAAGATATCTGAAACAGACCTCATTCCATTTTCCCTAGATCTGCCCCTCTTCTGAACTTATCACTGTTCAAGACACCACCATCCTCCCGGCCTCCAGGCTCACAACCTTCAGGAACCATCCTTGACTTCCGTTGCCCTAACTATCCATGTACAATCAGTTGGCAAGGTCTAGTTGTCCCAGCCCTCTGCACTATCTGTTACATTCATCCCTTTCTCTCCACGTACATAACCTCTACCCTAGGTCATACCCTCATCATGTCTTATATGGACATTGCAACAATCTCCTTAATTGATCTTTAATTGGTCCTTGTCTCCAGTCTCTCCCTTCTCCCATCTGTGTTTCGCACAGATGCCAAATACATGTTTCTAAAATATCAATATCTATCCATGTTACACCTTCCCCCTTCTCGACACTCAAAGGTCATCCATCCATTCACCTATCTACCTACCTGTCCATCCATCCATTCATCATCTATCCATTCATCTATCTATCTATCTATCTATCTAATATTACTATCTATCTATCATTATCAAGAGAATTCTATAGATATACTTTACTGAGATTTTAGTGAGCACTATATTGGACAAAATATCCCATTCAATTCTCATGGGAAAGATGGTGAGATATGGGCAAGACAATAGTACTGTTGGTTGTATGTGTAACGGGCTAAATGGCCAGCCTCCAAGATTAATCATTATTAGTTTTATGTCATCTTGGCTGGGGGTCTCCAGTGGAGTGCCTCAGGGATCTGTGCTTAGCCTTGTGCTGTTTAACATGTTTATCAATGACTTGAATAAAGACACAGATGACATGCTTATCATTTTGCAGATGGCACAGGGCTAGAAGAGAGAGAGCTGACACACTGGATGACAGTCAGGATCCAAAACTATTGACAGACTAGAACATTGAGTTGAATGTAATAAGGTGAAGTTTAATTGGTATAAATGCAAAGTTCTATACTCTGGTTCAAGAAAAAAATCAACTTCGCAAGTACCAGATGGAGAGCGACATGGCTGGACAGCAGGTTGTCTGGAAAAATATGGTTGTTTTGGGGTTTTTTTTAATGGCCTACAAGCACCATATGAATCAACAGTGTGATATGTTGGGCTGTCTAAAGAGTTTCCCAGTGCCCACAACCAGAAAGGTGACAGTCCTCTGCCCTGGTCAGATCATACTTGGGGTATTGTTTTCATTTCTGGGTACCATGATTTAGGAAAGACATTAGGCCGGCATGATAACAGTCCTTGAATGTTGGCCATCTCTAGGCTGGAGAAGGGAAGCTCTGAAGGGAGACTCACTCGTCATGTTGGCTGTTACCTGGAAGATGACAGATTTCAGCTTAATGTTAAGGAAAAAATTCCCAGCAATGAGAGCTGCCCACATGTGGTTGAAAGAACAGAGGATGTTTATCCTGGAGAAGAGAAAACTTGGGCAAGGGTTACGGGTGAGGGGAGGGACACATGTTAATTGTGATGTTTTCCAAAAGTTTCTTGCTGTATTTCCCCCTCTTGCTTATAATGATATAGACATCTGTTTTGTGTTATAAATGTTTTCCAGGGCCTAGAGGTCCCTGGGGTGACCCTGGAAACAGACGAGTGAAAGGAAAGAGGGGAGACCCGGGCCCACCTGGGAAGCATGGTTTGCCTGGTTTCAAAGGAGAACAAGGCCCACCTGGGCCCCAGGTAAGTGTGGGTGGAAGGGAGAAGGGATTCTCTGCAGAATCTAGAGTGCTCTGTATGGAAACTCTCCATCTGAAATGTTTTCTTTAGAAATCAGCATGCAGTGTGTTCTCTACGGCCCAGTGGCGAATTCTAAAAGAAGCAGCAGACCTGGGCCCTCCTTGCCCTCTTCAAATCTAATGAGACTTCGCTGTGGTAGAGCCGGCCTCATGGTCTGGCCCCTAGCTGCTAATTAGTGACATTGGCTTCATTGGAAGGCAGAACCTACCCCAAAGCTTTCTATAATGTGGAATTCCCTCACTGTTCCTGCTGCCTTCAATTCTCTGTCCTCCTGTCTAGCGGGAGGAGAAGCCCCTCCTTCTGATTCCTCAGTGTCCATTTTTCGCTCTTCCTCTCTTTCACTCCCCACATCCAGTTGGCTGCTAGGCCCTGTCAGTTCAGCTTCTCTTGAATCCATCCCCTTCTCTCTGGTCTCATTCCTACCACCCATTACCAAAGAACACTGAGTCTGGAGTTATGGGACCTGAATTCGAATCTGTACTCTGCCATGTATTACCTTTGTGACCTTAGCCAAGTCATTTCCCCTCTGTGGGTCTCAGTTTCCTCAACAGTAAAATGAGATACTCAGATAAGACAACCTCTGAATCCCTTTCCACTCTACAAAGCCTCTATGAGTGACCCAGGAGATCGCTAGTGTGTAATAAGCCCTAGAACTGATTTTATTGTCTTCAGTCTTCTTTCTATAACACACTGAGGCGAACAGGGTTAAGTGACTTGCCCAGGGTCACTCAGCTAGTAAGTGTCTGAGGCCAGATTTGAACCCAGGAAGATGAGTTTTCCTAACCCCAGGCCCTAGTATTTTATCCACTGCACCACGTAGGTGCTTTGCACAGCCCTGCCTCACTTAAATCCAATTCACTTGCAAGTCAAGACATCACCCTTCTGATGTCATCAGCCCTCTTCAAGAAGGACGAACAACAATCTGTGATTAGTAGTAGCTGCCCCACTGGGGACCCAACTGGCCAGTTCTAGTTGGGCAATGTTCTTCCTTCCTTCCTTCCTTCCTTCCTTCCTTCCTTCCTTCCTTCCTTCCTTCCTTCCTTTTTCTTTCTTTCTTTCTTTCTTTCTTTCTTTCTTTCTTTCTTTCTTTCTTTCTTTCTTTCTTTCTTTCTTTCTTTCTTTCTTTCTCTCTCTCTCTCTCTCTCTCTCTCTCTCTCTCTCTTTCTTCCTTCCTTCCTTCCTTCCTTCCTTCCTTCCTTCTTTCCCTCTGTCCACATGGGGAATCATACCCTTACATGTGGGTTCTCTGCCCAGGGGAATTTAATTTTGATTGCTTAAATCTCGCAAGATATCTTGGGGTTTGGGGGCTAGATTTTTTTCTCCTCCCTACTTATTTATTCTGTCTGTAACCCATCATCAAGTCTCGTCAAATTTTCCTTCTCACTGACTCTTGCCATTTTTCTGCTATGAATTGGTCCTTCATTAACACTGAGCTGAACTGTTCTAATACTCTTAGTTGGTCTCCTGGTAAACACCACCACTAGATCAGTCTCCATAAGGACAGGCCTGCCCCTTTTATACCTCTGCTCCAGTCCCTTCAGTGGCTCCCTGTTGCTTACAGCAGAAAATACCAACACTGTAATCCAGTATTCAGTACTTACTATGACTTGACACCAGCATACCTCATGTGTAGATGAGGTCCCTTCTAGCTCCAGATCTAGGAGACTGTGTGTGACCTTGTACAAGTCACCTCACCTCTCTGGGCCTCAGTTTACCCCCATCTGTAAAAATGAGGAGGATTGGACTGGGTGGAAACTGGGGGCCCCTCTAGCTCTAGATATGTGATTCTATGATGTCACTTTGGAAGGTCTTCAGTGTGTAGCTTAAGCCTCTATGCTTTTTTATCTAGTCTTTTTCTTGCATTCACTCAATGCAAGCCCATTCGATTAATCTCTAAAATATAGGCATGCACCCACTCAAACACCTCCAATGGCTCCCCATTGCTTGCAAGATAAAAGAGCATTCTCTAGTTCAGAGAGGACCCAGCCAGGCTCTGTCCAGCAGCTCCTTCAACATTTAATAGACAAGTTTTAATTTAATATCCCGCTTAAATATGTCTAGCTCTCCCTTACCCTGCCCAGCACACATACTGTGCATAACTAGAACAATAAAGCCTAATGGCTTGTGTTTGAGGGGCCAGCCCTTGCCTCGGGCCCTCATGACAGACACAGACACCCCCCAAAACACTCACTCACACATATACACACAAGTATACACAAACACACATGCACACATATATACACATACACAAATACATATACACTAATGATAATAATAATAATAGCTAACATTTCTATAACACCTACTATGTGTCAGGTACTGTGCTAAGCACTTTCCAGTTATTATCTCATTTGAGCTTTACAACAACCTTGGGCAGGAGGGGCTGTCATCCCCATTTTACAGTTGAGCAATCTGAGGCAAAGAGAGGTGAAGTGACCTGTCCAGGGTCATTGAGCTAGTAAGTGTCTGAGAGTGGATTTGAACTCAGGTCTTCCTGACTCCAGGTCTGGTACTCTTATCCATCGAGCCACCAGTTGCCTATGATAACCATACATGCACATACATATACACATATACATAGATGGACAGATCCATGAACAACAAACACATGCAATATACTTATGTGATGCATACATATATGCATTCATATAACGTCATATGTAATACATGCATCCACACACAATATGTACACATATACATGTACACACATGCACATAATACCCATACACATGCGCGCATACTCATGCACATATACACAATACACATATATACATATACACATGCACACATACACAATGCATATATACATATCCACATATATAGCACAATATGCAGATACATGTACACATGCATACACATGCCCACATATATAGCACAATATACAGATACATGCACACATACACACATACATACACATGTATCCACATACATAGCACAATATACAGATACATGCACACATGCACATATACATACACATCCACATATATAGTACAATATACAGATACATGCACACATACACCCATACATACATATATATATATATATACACACACACACACACACACACACACATATATATATAATGCACATATGCATATATGCACAACACAGGGCAACATGATGTATGTACATGTGCAGCATGTATATGATGTGCACAGTGCATATGTACACACATGCCTACAAATACATGCACACATATACACACAATACAATAATGCATGCACATAAACATGATAAGCATGTACATGCATGCACAATATACATGCAGATGTATACACCACACATATACCTATATACACGCACAATAATATGCTGCATGAATATACGTGTTCAAGAGGCACACATACATATACATGCACACACAGATGTGCACATGCACAATAGACATACACATGCACACATACATACACATGCACATAATACATTGCACACATACACATAAATGCACACATGCACAATAAACATCTACATGTACATGCATACACACACATACACACTCCACAAGATTGGGGCTTGTCAAGCTCCCGATGGACATCCCTGAGGAGCTCGGGCCCACAAGGTGCCGCCTCTTCCCTAGCTTCTCCCCATGGGCCTCTGAGCCCTGCTGTTCTCTCTTGCAGGTACCTCTGAACAATTGGCATTCCCCAGCACTCCTGCTGTCTGTGTAAGGCTCTGTTCTCTTTATTGATTTTTTTTCCCTCTGCAGTGTCTCTCAGGAGAGGCAGTGTGTTGTAGTTGCTAGAGATTGGGCGGCCTCAGAGCCAAGAGGACCTGGGTTCAAGTCCCACCCCTGGCCTATTCTAGCTGGGCACCCTGGACAAGACTCTAATCTCTAGGGACCCTCAGGCAGGTCTCTAAGAATCTAAGTTGCAGAGCAGGTGCATATCTGCATTGGCAGAAGGAGTTTCCTTATCTCAGTGAGATCCTAGGCCCTATCCAGCCCTCCCCAAAACATGCAAACAAACAAGTGTGTCTCAGATCTCCCCCCTTCCTTTCTGTTTCTGTAGTCGCGACTGTGGTCGACACCCTTATCACCTTGACTACTGTAACAGCCTTGTAATTGATTCTTGCTGCCTCCAGCCCCTTTCTCTGCAGTACATCACGAGCCCTGGTGAGCTCTCCCAGGGAACTGCAAAGTGCCTTGCCCCTCTCTTCAGTCTCTCCTTCTTCCAATCTGTCCTAGAGCTGGCTGTTCATCTGGCCTCATGGAACATCCCTGCTCAAGACTTTTGGGTGGGTCCCTATTGCTTGTGGCATCCTATCCCAGCCCCTTAGCCTGGTATTAGAGGCCCTTTACCAAATGCTGCCTGTCTTATCTCTTAACTCCCCAACCTTCATTTTCTTTTTTTTCCTTACACAGTTTCTCTGCCCCAGCCAAGCTAGGCTGGATGCCATCTCCCATAAACATTTTTCTTATTCCTAGACAGGAATGCCTCTGCCTCGTCTGCCCACCCAAAATGTCCTCCCCGGTTCTCTCTACCAATCCGTGTTCATCTCTTGCTTTCATCTCATCTCGAGGAAGCCTTCCTTGATTAGCCCCACATGATGGATTATTGCTGTCAAAATTCCACTTTGAGAAACTCTGAACTAAATTCAGTTCAATAAACTTGAGAGCTTTATTCCTTGGCGCGTAGGTAGATGCTGGCTACCAATAGTGCTGAGACAGTTGGAACTCGAGTTTGCTCTTGGAGCCAATGAAACACATCCTTCTTTCTGATGTGCTCTCAATGGACAGTCGATTTACAATCACATGATTAGCAAGCTGGTAGTGTAGTCATTTTCCACATATAGCTCCAACTTAACAACCTCAAAGGAAATACAGATGCACCCGACTGAGAGTAACTAACACTGAATCTGTAAGGAGACAGAAACACCCCAAAAGGTAAAAGCCTCCTGAAATAACTTCAGAGAGCTTAACTACTTCCAGATCCCACTCACTCTTTCCACCCCATGTGTTGGGCACCACTAGAGCAAGAAACGTCGGCTATGCGTTATGACATAGCCTCTGCTCCAGCGTTCCTCGGTCCCAGTGACTCGGTCGGACTTCCCTCCGCACCATAAGAGTTGGAAGACATTAATTCTGCCCAGCCATGGAATGTATCTGTATGGAGGGAAGAGGAGAAGAGGAATCATGACATCCCTGAGCTGGCTAGAGGGGAAGGGCCTTTTGTTCCTAATGGAAAGGGGGACTAGAAACCCAAATGGAGTCAGTCTTCTTTATGCAGAGCTTAGTCTGGGCAGGGACCCATTAAGGTCCCTATACCTCCCAACCTAAGGAGCCATGGGGGGAGGGATGGTCTGTGCAGTAGTGGAAGGAGGAGCCAAATAAGGAGGAAAGCCAGAGATAAGCCACTCAAGGTACAAATGCATAAAGTCCAAAAGTGTAGATTATAAGCAGGAAGAGCAAAAGTGAGGCTCATGACCACAAAAGGAAAATGGAGATATGATTCCAAAATGGCCGTAATGTATTGAGCAAGTATTATACTATGAAAGAAAATTAACCAAAAATTCTCATTGGGGGGAAAAAAAACCCAAAGAATTCTATGTGCTCTGCAGAGTACTTGGCAGACATAGAGCTTAGCAAACAACTCAAGAATAGTTCAACATTTAAACACATTTTAAAAAAAATTATATCAGGATAGAAATTACGTTGGAAAATAATTCTCAAAGCAGAGTTAATGAGGAACAACAGAGTAGATATTTTGGAACGTGTGATTGAGAATCTCTCTAGAGAATTAGGGCTTCTGCAAAAAAGAATGAGAGCTTTAGAACCCCCCCCTCCAAAAAAAATAGACAAGGAGGAAAATTGGACAGAATAGAAGCAAAAGAAAATAACTTTGAAAGAACACGTGAACTCTCAAAACAAAGTTACTATTCCTTAAGAAATGGTGAATATGAAGAATTCAAAGAAGCATGAGATGAAATAAACTGATACAGAATGAAACTAGTCAAACCAAGGAAACAATATCTACAACTACAGCAGAAATGGAAAGGAGTAATAGCAAACTAAACACCATGTAATTATAATCACCATGACGCAGCATGGAGTAGTGGATAGGAGAGTGGACTTGAAGTCAGAAAAACCTGCGTTCACAGTCCTGCCTCAGACATTTCCTAGCTGTGTGACCCTGGGCAAGTCACTTACCCTTTCTGGGACTCAGTTTCTTCATGTGCAAAATGGAGTTGGACCTTGAAAACAAACAAGGACATGCATTTCCTTACTTTTGTTGGAGAGGACTATGGGTGTGGAACATTGGAGCTGAGATCTATTCGGCAACGAATGTGGTATGAAAATAAAGACCATCAATAAAAACATTTTTCAAATGGGATCCTATGTTCCATGTCACTTCCTTTTATGACAGTGATTCTCAGTATGGGTCCCCTATACCAGAGGCTGGGTGAGGAATTGTAAAGAAATGATCCTAACAATAATCCCCATATCCTGCGCACATGGGTGTGAATTAGGCTATGGGAAAAGCACATGGAATTTCCGAATGGAAGAAAAAATTAGGTTTATTGAAATGATTAACTCAGTGGCCTTGAAAAAAAAAGCAACAGTAAAATCCCTAGAGGTTAGACTATATTTCATCTGTTTCTTCTGCCTCTCATGTTGGAGCACCCAAACCTCAGGTAGCTGAGTCAATGGATTTCTCAAGAAAGTAGGTGGTGCTCAAAGGGTTGCCCAAATGAGATAGTATATAGAAATTAATCAACTTGGTACTCCTTTTTTGGTAACACACTAAAGTTTCCAAGGCACTTTCCTCACAAAAGGCAGATGAAAGGGAGGGCAGTACATAAAGTGTCATACCCATTGTGCAGATGAGGCTCAGAGGGGTGAAAGAACCCATTCAGAGTCCAGTAAATGGAGAATTTGAGAGTTGAAAGTAGAACCTTGGTCTTCTGCCCCCAAGTCCAACAGTCTTTCCACTATATATTAATATTTCTTGTGGAACACAATAATGGATGACATTTATATGGTGTTTTGAGATTTTTGTTGTGCATCCCCTCCCAATAGGAATGTTTAATTTATGTCTTCATATCCCTGACTTTGGAGTCCTAGGATCTGGGGTTCAATCTGGTTTCTGCCACTCTCTGCTTGTGTGACCTCGAGTAAGTCACTTCCCTGGGACCTCAGTTTCTTCCTCCATAAAGGACTAGATGGCCCCTGAGGTCACTTCCACCTCCAACTCTGTGACATAGCATAATAAATGTTTTTTTTCCCCTGGGTAATTAATCATTTTATTAATCATTGCTAGTGGATAGTTAATAAAAGGGGTCAGTGGCCCTCTGGAATGCCAAAGACCCCTCATGGAACTCACTTGAAGCTTATATAGCATAATAAATGTTTGCTGGCTCACTTATTGATTGATTGATTTACAAACATCATCTCATTGGAGCCTCAGCAGCCCTTGTGATTTGCACATGACAGATATCATTATTCCCATTTTACATAAGAGGAAACTGAGAACTAGAAGTTTAGTCACATAGTTAAGTGTTACAGGCAAGATTCAAATCCAGAACGTCCTGACTTCCTGTGCCCCATCCATTTTGGTGAATGCTTACCACCATTTCTTCCAAGTCCTGGCCTAGTAGCACCGCCCCCCCATCTACCCACATGGCTAAGACAGCTTTCTTTTTTCAGGGCGATCCTGGGCAGCCAGGGCTCATTGGAATGAAGGGAAATCCTGGCATCCAAGGGATCCCGGGATTCCAAGGTATTTCAAGGAATAGTTTTTGAACCACCTTCTGGTTACTAGTGGTGCCGATTCAGATCCTCAGAGACCCTAGCACCCCACTGCTGGTCTCTCGGGGGAGACGTGGGCCTGTATTTTCACTGAGGTTGTGATGGTTTGCCTTACAGGGATGAAAGGACCTGCTGGTGCTCCTGGTTCAGCCGGCCCTGCAGGGGATCCAGGCCCTAGAGGTCCTTCAGGTAAGAGTCCATTCATCACTTGGGTCTCTAAAACCAATTATTTGCTGTGTGTGAATTGATTACAGTGTTTGGAGCTTCTATCGGCTAGGCACCTCCTAAGTGGCACAGTGGGCAGAGTGCTGTACTTGGAGTCTGGAAGACCTGAATTTGAATCTTGCCTTAGACATGCTAGCTGTGTGACCTTAGACAAATCGCTTTCCTCCTGCACCTCAATTTACTTCTCTGTAAAATGAGGGTGTTGGACTCAGTGGCCTCTAAGGGTTCTTCCAACTCCAGATCTGTGATCCTATGTGTGACCTTGGGCAAGTCCCTTCTCCTTTCTGAGCCTCAGTTTCCTCCTCTGACAAAAGAGGGAGTTGGCCTCTTTGACCTCTAGGCTCCAGGATGCTCTGAACCTATGAGAATATGACATCAATATCCCTTTGACCAGCTAATTCCTTAACTACTGAGCCAAATCTAGGTCCTTTCTTCCCCTCGAATCCCCCTAGACCTACCTGGGCTGATAGGGATGAATGCTGTTTTAGTAACAGGTCTTTTCAGATAAATGCAAGATAAGGGCTACAGGAGGAAGGGAATGGAATAAGCATTGATATAGCACCTACTATGTGCCAAACCCTTTACAAATATCTCATTTGATCCTCACAACAACCCTGGGAAGTAGGTGCTGTTATTATCCCAATTTTCAGATGAGGAAACTGCGGCTGACAGAAGTGAAGTGACTTGCCCAGGGTCCCCACAGTTATCTGAGGCCAGATGTAACCTTGGGTCTTCCTGACTCCAGGCCCAGCTCTCTATGCAGTATGCTCCCACTGGGGGAGATTTTCACAAGCTTCAACCACCACTCTCCACTCTATAGTTTATTAGATAAAATCATATCTCATATAGAGATTATAATCATTATATCTATAATATAATTCTGTTATATTCTCCCTGACCCCACTCCAGGTCATCCTCCACTTTATTGTCCAAGAGTAGGTCTCACCAGGTCACTGTTGCCCTGCTCAATAAACTCCAGTGGCTCCCTATTACCTACATGATCAAATATGAAATCTTCTGTTTGGGATTTAAACCCCTTCCCAAGCTGGTCCCTTCCTACCTTTCCAGTCTTTCCATACTTTACTCCCAGCCATGCCCTCTTGGGTCCTGATTATCCCCCATCTCTATGCTTTTTTTTGTTTTTCTTTTTTTTAAATGTTTTTTATTAATTTTTTTGATATATCAATAATCACTTCCATATGCTTTTGAGTTTAAAATTTTTCTCCCCCTTCTCCTCACCACCCTCCCCAAGATGGCACACAATCTGATATAGGCTATACATTTACATTCATATTAAACACATTTTCACATTAGTGATGTTGTAAGTAGAAATTAAAATCAATAGGAGGAACCATCAGAAAGAGGAAACAAAACTCAACAGAAGAGAAAAAAAATAACAATTTGGCTTCCATAGTTCTTTCTTTGGGTGTGGATAGCATTTTCCATCACAAGGCCTCTGGAGATGTCTTAGATCCTTGTATTGCCAGGAAGGGTTAAGTTTATCAATATTAGTCATCACACAACGTGACTATCATTGTGTACAACGTTCTCTTGGTTCTGCTCACTTCACTCAGCATCAGACCATACAAGTCTTTCCAGGTTTTTCTGAAGTCAGCCTGTTCATCATTTCTTATAGCACAATAGTATTCCATCACATTCATATACCACAGCTTGCTCAGCCATTCCCCAATTGATGGGCATCCTCTCAATTTCCAATTCTTTGCCACCACAAAAAGAGCTGCTATGAATATTTTTGTACATGTAGGTCCTTTTCCCATTTGTGTGATCTCTTTGGGATATAGCCCTAGAAGTGCTATTGCTGGGTCAAAGGGTATGCACATTTTGATAGCCCTTTGGGCATAGTTCCAAATTGCTCTCCAAAATGGTTGGATCATTTCACAACTCCACCAACAATGCATTAGTGTTCCAATTTTCCCACCTCTTCTCCAATATTTATCATTTTCCTGTTTTGTCATGTTGGCCATTCTGATAGGTGTGATGTGGTACCTCAGGGTTGTTTTGATTTGCATTTCTCTAATCAATAGTGATTTAGAGCATTTTTTCATATGACTATAGATGACTTTAATTTCTTCATCTGAGAACTGTCTGTTCATATCCTTTGACCACTTATCAATTGGGAAATGGCTTGTATTCTTATAAATTTGACTTAATTCTCTGTATATTTTAGAAATGGGGCCCTTATCAGAAAGACTGGTTATAAAAATTCTTTCCCAATTTTCTACCTTCCTTCTAATCTTAGTTGCATTGGCTTTGTTTGTGCAAAAACTTTTCAATTTAATGTAATCAAAATTATCTGTTTTGCTTTTTGTAATGTTCTCTATCTCCTGTTTGGTCATGAATTCTTCTGTTCTCCATAGATCTGACAGGTAAACTATTCCTTGATCTCTCAGTTTGCTTATAGTATCAACCTTTATATCTAAATCATGTACCCATTTTGACTTTATTTTGGTATATGGTGTGCATCTCTATGCTTTTGTACAGGCGTGTTCCCCACCCCTGGAATGCTCTTCCTCCTCACCTTCTGCCTCTTGAAAGGAAATCCTAGCTCTAACATCACCTTCTGCAAAAGCCCTTTCCCCATCCCCCTTCCTCTTACTGTTAGCACCTGCCTTCCAACATCACTCTACTCACTCTATACCCATTTACTTACGTGCTGTTTCCCTCATTAGACTGGAAGCGCCTTGAGGGCAGGGACCTCAAGGCAGTGACATTTTGGCCTTTCTTTGTACCCCCAGTGCTTAGCACAATGCCCGACACATAGTAAGTGTTTGTTGAGTAACTGATTCTCACCTTTCAGTTCCTCCCCAGTGTCTTTATTTCATTCAAACTTTCCCTAGGCTCCCCCATAACGTGCCTCTTCTATTTTCGTTGCTCAGGCCTGCAAGCAGCCCTCACTGGTAGCAGGCCATGGGACCTAGCGCCTCTTTCGGTCTTCTCTGGGGGGGCCTCTGCACACCCTGAGGGAAATCTGCTCCCCAGGGTGGACACCTACCCTGAGGGAACCCCTGAAGGCTGGACCTTCCACCGGGACCTCGCTCTGTTTTGTTTCAATGCCTTTTGCCCTGTGGGCCCATGGGCCATTCTAGAGGCCCTGATCCCGGAGACTATCCATCCTCCAGCCTGGTTCCCTGTGCTGTACAAAGGAGCATGGCCAGCAGGCTGGGTTGTGGATCTGGGGAGGGGTGGGGCAGCTCAGTGGAACTCAGCTATGGCTGCAAGCCTGGCCCAGGGGAATTCAGGGGGATAACAGCTAGGACCTGGCCATTTCATCCCAACCCCAAACTTCTCCTCCATGCTAAACTCACCCCTCCTCATCCAAAATTAGACCCTCCTCTCAACCTCTGCCTCCACTATTTTCAGTTCATTTCTGACCCATACACAAGCTCTCATACCTTTCCTCTTTCTCCTCACTGTTCCCTCCCACCTCTGCAATGCTCAGAAAGGGGTCATAGGTCTAAGCAAATTTTCTTAAAGTATTCTCTCTCCCCTTCCTCTCTCTTTTTCTCTCTCCCTCCCTACTTCCCTCTCCCCCTCCCACTTTTTCTCCCTCTCTCTACTGCTCTTCCTCTCAGCTTCTCCTGCCTCCCTTCCTCTCTCTTCCTCTCTCCCAGCTCCCTCCCTCCCTCTCTCTTTTGCTCTCTCCCCCCCTCCTCCCCCTCCCCCCTCCCTCCTGCTTTCTCTCTCCCTCCCTCCCTCCCTCTCTCTCCTGCTTTCTCCCTCTCCTCTTTGTCTTCCCTAATAGCCATCTTCTCTCTCTTTGGCTTCTGGCCACCTCACTGTCCTTTGTCTCTACCCCACAAACCGTCCAGCCCGAGTCGGGCTGAACCTATGGGCTTTTGATGCTGACCCCAAGCTGCAGGCACACTGTTGCTAGCTTCTGTTCTAACTGTCCCCACTGGTTCCCAGTTCCCAGTCCTGTTTCAAGTGGCTCATTCACAAAGCACCCTGAAGCAAAAACTGCCAATGCTTGAGAACAGAGTGTGTTTTTTCCAAGGAGAATCCCCTTCCCCAGAGGCCAGTCTTTAGGAATATAACGAGCTGCCAAGAATAGGAACGGACTGAACCATACTGTTGGAAATTAGGGAGGGTGTGGCCTTGATCATCTTCCTTCCCTGACTCCCCCAGTGATTCCCTAGGAATGGCCCTGAGATCAATTTTTCACATCTCTCTGCCTTCTCAGCGAGCTGACTCCACAGCTCTCCTGTCTCAGGCAGAGGGGGAGGGAGAAGACTAAAAGTTAATCAGCAAATTTCAGTTGGCCCTGGCAACAGGCCGGGACATTGAACTGCCTCACACCACCCTGTATCCTGGACTAATGGAGCCAGAAGGCTCTTAGAAATCACCTCCACCGGGGCCCTTGTTGAATAGGGGAGGGAACTGAAGGCCTGGTTCAAGGTCATGTGAAATTGGCAAGTGTGGCTGCTGAACCATTGTCAGGACTCCTTGAAAGCTCATGGTGAGACTATGCATACTTGTTACAAGGGTTTTGTTTTTCTCATCCTTCAATGGGGCAGGGGGAGGTAGAAGGGAAAGAAAATGGATTTTTGTTAATTGAAAAAAATTAAATTTATTTAAAACAGAAAGATCACAGTTAATAGGAGAGGTACTCCGGGCCTGGAGAAGGTCAAACGGCCCAATTGTCCAAAAGAAATGGGGCCAAGGGGAGGGGGGAAGCATAGAGACTGAAGACTAGAGGCTAGCATGCTTGACTTTGATTCCTGGGAAAATTCTAGGCTGTGAGAATAAGGGGGGCTTAGTGAAAAGGAAGCTGCCGCCCCAAAGAGCGAACAAGTGAGAGAGCTAGTGTGGGCTCAGTGAGAGTAGGTCATACCGGACCAAGCCGGTTTCCTCTCTTGCCAGGGTTACTAAACTTTCACAATCAGAAGAATGTTGTCCATATTTTTTATTGAAATCTCAGCCAAGCATTTGATAAAAGTTTCTTATGCTCTTCTCGTGGCAAAGATGGCAAGGGACGGGCATCACTAATGGTCTGATGTTAGTTCTGAAGGTCTTCAGTGGAGTGCCCCAGCGATCTATACTTGCCTCTGTGCGGCTTAACACTTTCATCGGCGACTTGGATAAAGACATCAAGAATATCTTTCATCAATCACATTTGCCAGCACTCCAAAGCTAGGAAGACAAACTAACACAAAGGATGAAAGAGTCAGGATTCACAAAGATCTCAACATCCTTGAACATTGGGTTGAATCAAATCAGATGAAATTCAATGGAGGTCATTGTAGAGTTTGATACTTAAGTTTTTAAAAATGAGCTTTCCAAGTACCGGGTGGGGGAGGAGTTCATTTGAAAAAGATCTGCGGAATCCTAGTGGACCACATGCTACCTATGAGCCAGGAGTGTGATGTGGTGACCAAAAAACAAATGTTATCTTGGACTTCAGTAAAGATGGAAGAGCTTCCAGAAATGAGGAGATGATGGTCCCACCCTATAGGTGGTCTCTGGAGCCTTGTGTTCAGTTCTGGAGGCCATGTTTTAGAAAGAACATTGAGAAGCTATAGCATGTGCAGAGGAGCTCAGTCAGGATGGTGACACTCTTCGAGGCCATGCTGCATGAGATCAGCTAAAGAAAGTGGGGATCTTCAGGCAAGTTGATGGGCACACAAGCAAAAAGAAAGACAATCTCCTCTGTCCTTAAGGAGCTCGAAATCTGATAGGGGGAGACAACATGCAAACAAAAGGGGGAGGGGACAGGGGAGGGGCCACACACCAGGGCATGGTGCCCAAGGCCACAAAGTCAGAAGCTGAACCTGGAGGGAAATGAAGGTTGGCTGACCTGGGTCCCTTCCCAAAATGGGTGAATGAGAGAAGAGAGCAGACACAGCAGGTAGAAGGATGTTCCCAGTGTGAGGAGGTCCTGAGCTCTGTGGGAAGTTACAGGGTGAGCCAGCAGCTGAGGCTTTAGCCCAGAGATGAGCAGGCCCACACAGTAGCCATCTTTAAGTGTTTGTAAGACTGTTATGGAAGAAGAATTCAAGTTATAGGCTCCTAAATATAAAACTAGAAGGGTTGGAAGGGGACTACAGATGAGGAAACTGAGGCCCAGGGAGGTTACGTTGTTCTACTATGGCCCAGAGGACAGAACTGGGAGCAATGGGAACACATTGGAAAGAGGCTTGATGACGGGAAAGACTTCCAAGTAATTAGAGCAGCCCCCCCATGAGTGAGGCGACCTTGGGAGGTAGTGGGTTCCTCCTCATTGAATGTCTGTAAGCAAAAGCTGAATGACCACTTGTCAGGCATTTCTTTGGAGGAATGGCTTAGATTAGAGAATTAGACCAAGGTCCCTTCTACTTGGGAAATTCTAGGATTCTCAGAATTGGTAGCTTGGAGACCTGGCCCCACATCTCACATCTCTCTGCCTATTGTCCTTTCCGTGGTCTCCAGTGATACTGGGCCTTCCTCCCACCCTCTCCATCTCTTCAAACCTTCCCAACTACTTTCTTTTTAAAAAAATTTTTTTTCCAATTACATGTAAAAACAATTTTTAACATTCTTTTTTTTTTAAATGAGCGGAACCATGAAAACATTGTACACAATATCAGCAGCATTGTGTGATAATCAACTATGAATGACTCAGCTCTTCTCAGCGGCATAATGATCCAAGACAAGTACAAAGGACTCAGGAAGGAAAATGCTATCCATAGCCAGATAAAGAACTTACGGACTCCGAATTCAGATCGAAGCATATTTTTTCCCCACTTACTTTATTCTTTCCTGTGGTTATTTTTCCCTTTTGATCTGTTTCTTCTTTCACAACTGTGATGAATATGGAAATATGTTTTACATGATAGCACATGCATAAACTATATCAAACTGCCTACCATTTTCAGAAGAGGAGAGGGGCGGGAAGGAGGGAGAAAAATTTGGAACTCAAAATCTTGTAAAAATGAATGCTAAAAATTTTCTTGACACATAATTGGGGAAAAAATAAAATACTATTTGAATATATTTTTAAAAATTTTTGAATTCCAAATTCTCTCCCTTCTTCCCCGTCCCCTCCCTGAGACAATAAGCAATTTCATATAGGTTATACATGGGCAATCATGCAAAACATATTTCCATATTAGTCATGTTGGAAAAGAAAACACAAACCAAAAGAAAAGCACAAGAAAAATAAAGTAAAAAAGTTTGCCTTGATCTGCATTCAAACCCCATCAATTCTTTCTCTGGAGATGGATAGCATTTTTCATCATGGGTCCTTTGGAATTATCTTGGATCATTGTATTGCTGAGAGTAGCTAAGTCATTCACAGCTGATCATCATATAATTTTGCTGTTACTATGTACAATGTTCTCTGGGTTCTGCTCATTTCACTTCACTTTGTTCATGTAAGTCTTTCCAGGTTTTTCTGAGAGCATTCTACTTGTCATTTCTTATAGTACAATAGTATTCCATCACAATCATATACAGCAACTTATTCAGCCATTCCCTAATTGAAGAACATTTCCTCGGTTTCCAATTCTTCGCCACCACAAAAAGAGCTTTCCCAACTATTTTCAAACTGTGTTTTACTTCTCAGGTCCCCCTGGCTTTCCTGGTCCCTCTGAGCAGGATCTAATAGTCAAAGGAGATATTGGACCTCCAGGACTACCGGGCCAGCCAGGATTGAAAGGTCTCACGGGGATCCCAGGACCCCAAGGCTTGCCAGGTACTTTTCCACAGAGCTCTGCTGAGCATGTTCTAGGCTAATTTGTCTTGATCAGCTACTTTAATGAGTGTTCCCTGCATGGAAGTGCCTCCCAGAGTCTCCCCACCCCCCACACATAAGGCCTGGAGCCTCAACATCTTGAAGTGTTAGATAATTCCAGTGTTGTCAGAAGGAAAGGTTTCTTGCATCTCTCCATCACCCAATTTCTTTTGGTCCCTTTACCCATGCTGATTTAGAAAAGTTAGTAGAGTGGCCTTGTTGCTACCTTAGGAGTAGAAAGAGCCAAATTTCAAGGTTGATGTTTTTCTTCCAGCTTCCTCTACCCTAAGCCTGAGCTCCCTCTCTACAGGGAAGGCCTCAGGCCTTCACTGTTTAGCCTAACTCCCTGGCTACCCAATGGGAGGGTATCTATGGCTAACCCTGCACATGAACTCATGTCCCAACTGGCTACAGTATTTCCTGATTATTCGGTGACTGGGCTGTGCTTGTTTCATATTGCTGGAAGCTTCATGGAAGACAGAGACCCCCAGAGCTGGAAGGGTCTCTAGAGGTCAACGTTGTCAGCCCCCTCATTTTTACAGAGGAGAAAACTGAGACCCATAGAGGTGAAGTGACTTGTCCAGAGTCATCCCCCAGATAGGAAGCATCAGAGGCAAGCCTCAAACCTGGTTCTTCTGCCCCCAAATCCAGCATTTTCCCACTAGACTATGCTGCCTTTTTTTTTTTACAATTTAGAAAGTATTTATTAAGCACCTAGTGTGTACAAGGCAGAGAAAGACAGTGTGACATAGTGGATGGAGTGGATTGGCCTCAGAGCCAATGAGACCTGGGTTCAAGGCCTAGTTGGGATACGTTCTAACTGTATGACCCTGGGGACGTCATTTACCCTGCTCTCAACACCCCTACGTGGCTCTTAGTTGGAGAGAAGTTATGGGAAGTTTCCTCATTTGGGTCCAGCCAACACCAACCATGAGCTGAGGATATGAAGACCAAAGCTATCTATGCCTTCAAGGAACTTATGTTCTTTTTTTGGGGGGGGGGCAGGGGTAATTATTTGTTGAGATGGACATGTTGAGGACTTGAGCCTCTTTCTGGAACTGAAAACAAGAAGAGCCAATGTTACCAAATTTCCCCAGGTATAGACAAAATGGTTAGAACTTAGCGATGGCTCCCCTCACCCCAATTCCTCCCCTCAGCTAGCTAGAATGTGCCAGCCCTTTCATTAAGATGGAATTGAGATGATATTCTTACAAGGCCTGTCAGTATGTGATCCCCATAGTCTCTTGGGTTTGCCTCAGTGTCCCTCTGCCCACATTGCACAACATGTTTCTTTTCTCTGTAGGTCTAACTGGCCCACCAGGAGACCCTGGACGTAATGGACACCTTGGTGTTAATGGCCCAGAAGGCCACAAAGGAGACCCAGGCCCATCAGGCCAACCAGGTGGGAAAATGGGGCCGAGAGAGATTTTTACATCCAGTATCCATTGTGTGACTGCTTTGGAAGGTAGCAGGCAGCATACTTCTGCCCTTAGAGAGAAGGGATACCATATGCAAATTGGCCCCTCACTCACCTAAATGGAAACCCCTGAGCATCATTGTCCATTTTTGGTTGTAACCAGCTAATGCTATTAAAGATGGTTGCTCCATGGGGTAGCAGCAGGGAAGCAGGAAAGGGGCATTGTTTGCTTTGCAAAGATGACTTGTGTATTCTTTATTTTTGCTGTTGCTGATAAGAGATCAAAGAATAATAGATTTAGAGCTAGGAGAGACCTTGAAAGTCATCTATTCCAGAATCATCAAGTGACTCAGCCAATGGCATTACAGATAGGGAGTAGTAGAGCTAGTATTTAAATCTGGGTCCTCAGACTCCAGAAGCAGCACTCTTTTCACTGTGCCCTCCTGCTTCCCACCAGGCATAGAAGGTTGGTACCAGCAGAGACATTGTTGGAATCAAGGCAGAGCTGTGAGAGGTGTCCCAGACCATTTCTCCCTCTACTTCGGGAACCACGAATGAGATTCAAAGACAGGAAGTACCTTGCCCAAGATAGAGGGAGAAGCCAAGCATTATTTTCAAGTTTCCATAGTGATTATGAAAGCCACATGCAGAGGGAATGAAAAGTAGTCCCACTCACAAGGCTAAACCCACTTGAGGCAGATTGAAAATAACCATTATCAAAACATCCTCTTATTACAGTCTCCTCATGCCGTGCACTGTCCTTAGAGAGCCAGCTACCCTGAACAGAACCCCAAAGACAGAGAGGAAAAGGTGACGACACTGAAACTGTCTGGCAACCACCATGGCTCACACCTTCCCTTTCCTAGGAATAAATCAAGGCTTTAGGCTATGGTTAGCAGAACTGACCACTGAGAGGAGGAAAGGACAGGTGCATGGAGGAGCCTGGGATCTTAGTTTTCTGTGCTAGAAGGGACCTCAGAGACCATCGAATCCTATCCCCTCTTCTCCAAGATGAGGAAACTGAGTCACCAAGAGGTTAAGTGACTTGCCCAAGGTCACAGAACTAATAAGGAAAGTGTGACTTAGCATTGAAAAGGTTGAAGATGGTGAGCAGCCATGTCATCATTTCTCTGCTCCTCCAATAGGATCATCAGAGTAGAGGTGCTATTTTACTGGAGCCATGAGTTGAGCAGTGTGGGCACCAGCCTAGGGGTTTATACCAGTCCACACCTCCTAATCCTACCTGATTGTTGCCCATAACCAACTGCAGATTTTCCCAAGAGGGTCTGTTGGTCTAGAAGTCTTCTTTTTGGTTTCAACATATTTCATCAATATGGGACCACTCCACCTTCTTTTCTGATGACCTTAACAGTGTCATTCATAGCACCTCTTTTCCATGAGTCATCTTTTGTGATATATTTCAGCTTCTACCTACACCCAGTATGTCTTGACATTGACCTTTGGGTCACCTATAATTTCGGTTCTTCAGTAATCATCTTTTTCCATGACTGCCAGAATATAGCATCTCTGGGAGAATCTTACTGTCAAAAGAGATGGGGTTTGATGTCAGTTTGGGACGATGGAAAGGGCTGCACGCTGGAATCCGGCCTACTACTCTTCCTCTCCGGTTATGCCTCTGGTTCACCATCCATCTGAGCATCTTTCCAAGATATATGGACTAAGGGGCTTATCCTGCCCCCTCCCCAACCCAAGCCCTCTTCCTCTGACAACTCCTTTTGTGAAAGTGGCCCTGAGTTCAGCCAAAGCCTCACCTGCCAGCCACAAGAGCAGACAACCACCACCAAGAGGGAAAGTTCAAGTCCAAGCCCAACAGTAAACGGCCTGCTGTTTAGGACCAAGGCTAGCTAAGTCCAGGAAGGCCTATCACTTGGAAGATGGCCCCCTAGTGATAAAGCTTGGAGGATGACAAGTCACAACATCTGTATAAATGCGAAGTGCTCCTCAGGCCTGCCCATCTGCCACCTTCTTCCACTCCAACCCTTAAAGACAGTGCCAGACACACAATAGATACTTAATGAATGATTCTTGGCTTGGGTTGACTTGAAGCTGGTGGAGGTGGAAGGGTTTGTTGGGATGGGCCCCTGATGGAGGGAGCCAGACTTCTGGACTCTGGGAGAAGCACCACATCCGTGGGGTTACTGCTCCAGCTCTCTTTGGTTTTTTCCTTGATTGATTGGTCCTTTAATCCAGCAGAGCAAAACACAGCTTTAAAGTTAGATCTCCACCAACATGTCATATATACTATAGTGCATTGCACACGTGCATTTACACACATGTGTTTGTATGACACGTATGATGTGTGTACATATATGATGTCATATTGCATAGATTATAGATTCTATTTCTACACACAGATAGGTTCTGGACATGGGATTTTACTGATATAGGGAAGTCTTAGATGAGGAAACCGTCTACCAATACAGATTGGTACCTTCTCTACAATGTCAAATCTTAAGAGTGTTCCCTAGGGCAGTGGCGTCAAACAAATAGAGACGTGTTGAGGCCACTAAATTGTACATGAGGATCTGTGGGGGCCACAGATTGATTTAATTTTAAACTCTTATGTTATCTATGTTTTATTGTATATGGATTTATTTAATATTTCCCAATGGCATTTGAATGTAGTTTGGGCAGCACCCAGAAGTGTTGTGGGCTGCATGTACTGAGAGGTTAAGTGACTTGGCCAGGGTCACACAATATGTGTCAGAGGCAGGACTTGAACCCAGGGCTTCTTGACTCCAAGACCGACTACAATGTACACATATACACACACACTTCCACACATGCACTCATGCACATACATGCACAATTCCTTGGTAGGTTTGAGGATAATAATAGGGAAATAGGGTGAAAAGGATGAGGTGGATAGATAGTGTCATGGAAGCGATAACATGAGTTTGGACAGACTTTGGGAGATAGTGGAGGATAGAAGGGCCTGGTGTGCTATGGCCAATGGGGTCACGAAGAGTCAGACACAATTGAACAGCTGAACAGCAACAACAAAAAGTGAAAAGGCAAGAGAAGAACAGTAGAGATGTTATAGAAAAATGGAGGAACATGAGGTGGGAAAAAAAGGGATCCCTTGATCATTCATATCAAATATGCCAAAGAAATGGAAGAGACACGTGCTTTCTACAGTCAGAGCTGCCATAGCATGGAGGGCTTCCTAAACAAAATCCAACTGGAATAGGCATTTTCTTTTTAAAAAAATAATTTTTATTAATAGCTTTTTTTTAACATCACCATAGTTTCCCTCAGTGTCCCTCCCCTATCCCAGAGGGTCATCCCATAGAACAAATAATATTTTTAGAGAAAAACAAAAAGAGAGGGGAAAAAATCAGCAAAACCCATCCATACACCAAGAAAGTCAGAAAATACTCACAGTGTACCACACCTGTGGACCTCCTTTCTCTGCAAAGGAGTGTGGTGGGCGTGTCTGCTCATATCTCTTTTCTGGGACTGTGCTTGTTTGCAGTAATAGCTTCTTATTTTTTTTTTATTTTTTATTTTTTTGCTTTTTGCTAGGCAATCGGGGTTAAGTGACTTGCCCAGGGTCACACAGCTAGTAACATAATAGCTTCTTATGGTGGGATTTGGTTGTTTATGCCTCCTTGCTGATTTCAGATTTGATATTAGAGCCAAACTCTGAACATTGCTAGAGGGAAGGTTTGGGCCGGTCCTGGTCCTGCTAACTGTTTTCCTGGGATATTGAGTGTTGTATTATTCTAATATCTCAGAGAGAGCTCAAGTGGGGAACTGGCAAGCTTTCAGGGTTCATGAAGTGATCTGACCCAAGGAAAAGTCTGATCATTGCCCCTCTGATCTGAGCTCTGCAAATTCCTGGCCTGTGTTTGGGTCCAGGCAACAGGTCTGTGAACTTGCCTCATTAGGAATTATAGTAGACTGCTATTGGATTCCACCACTATCAGCCAGTGTGGGCTCCCCTTTGGTCTGGGGTTCTTGCCCTGGTCACTCCTCTGCAGGCTACAGACTAGGCTGGAAGCTGAGGCTAGAAGCTGGGACTGAGCCTCTGCTCCATTTCTGGTGTCTGAGTCACACAGCTACTGTTAGTTTCTGATTTTGTTTGTTGTTTGATACATAGCCCAGGGCATGGGACTGACTTGTACCCTAGATTCATGCTCTTCCTGGGCATAGATAGCCTCTTCATTCCACCCTGGATATGTGACCCAGAACTGGAGAGTGTACAACAAAACTTCCAGATGTTTCTCCCTCCACAAGCTTAGGCCCCTCTCTGCCTGATGTAGGCCCTCTTCTTGCCCTGGAATTCTCCACGCAGAACACTCCTGGCCAGACCCTATCCCAGTGTCCACAGACATCTCTGTTTGACTCCTGATGCCAACCTGAGCTGGAAAAATAACACATTATGATCTTCTGATGCTAATCTGAGCTGGAAAATGACATATTGGGATCTTTTCTTGGATTTCTTGATCAGGATTTGGTCTGGTGCATTTTCTAGATGTGTTTGGAGGAGTTGGGAGTGGGGAGCTCACTGTATTTATTCTACTGCTCTGCCATATTCAAGGAACCCCTTTCTAACAAGTTCTGGGAGACTTTTGTCAGGTAACTGAAGAAAAACGACCCTGCCACTTGCTAGCTGTGTGCCTTTGGGCAAGTTACTAAGCCCCAATTTCCTCATTTGTAAAATGGGCTCATAATGTTTATGCTAGTTACTACATGGGGCTCATGTGAGGAATGTGAAATAATGTACATACAGCACTTTGTGAAATATAGAAGTTTATAAAGCTCAGCTTCTGTTCTTGAGAGGCAGCATGGCATAGTGGATAAAGAGGTGGCCTCCACAGCTAGGAAGACTTGGGTCCAAATCCCCACTCAGACACTTACTAGCAGTGTGACTCTGAGCAACTCACTGGAACCTCTCAGCGCCCTCAGCAACTCTGAGCTGTAGAGAGAGTATCAACCTGCTTTGGTAGAGGCAACTTCCTTTCCCAGGAATTCCCTCTACTAATGAGATCCCGGGGTGGGGGGGGGGGGGGGGGGGGGGGGGGGACCTGCAGCCTCGAGGCCACAGGTGGCCCTCCAGGTCTTCAAGTGTGGGCCTTTGACTAAATCCAAACTTCACGGAATAAATCTCCTCTAGGTCCTCAAGAGTGGCCCTTTGACTGAATCCAAACTGCACAGAACAAACCCCCTCTAGGTCCTCAAGTGTGGCCCTTTGACTGAATCCAAACTTCACAGAACAAACCCCCTCTAGGTCCTCAAGTGTGGCCCTTTGACTGAATCCAAACTTCGCAGAACAAATCCCCTCTAGGTCCTCAAGTGTGATCCTTTGATTGAATCCAAACTTCACAGAACAAATCCCCTCTAGGTCCTCAAGTGCGGCCCTTTGACTGAATCCAAACATATTTGTTCTGTGCAGTTTGGATTCAGTCAAAGGGCCTCACTTGAGGATGTAGAGGGCCACACATAGCCTCAAGGCCACAGGTTCCCCACCCCTGGCCTAGCCCTATCCCATTCTTTTCAATAACAATTAGCACTCTTTCTAAATGGAAAGATTGTAAAGAATTACATGGAGACATTAAAGTCTTCATCCCCAGAAGAACTGAACCAATGTGAATGAATGAATACCTTTCAAGGATGATGCCAAAGCAAAGAACTAGAAATTGAGGGGATGCCCATCAATTAGGGAGTGGCTGATCGAATTGTGGTATGTGATCATGATGGAATATTATTGTGCTGTAAGAAATGATGAACAGGCAGAAAAACCTAGAAAGACTTATATGAACTGATACAGAGAGAAGTGAGCAGAACCAGTTGTACATAGTAACAACAATATTGCTAGATGATCATTTGTGAATGATTTGACTCTTCTCAGCAATACTATGATCCAAGACAGTTCTGAGGGCTTATGATGAAAAATGCTATCCATCCCCAGAGAAAGAACTGATGGTGTCTGAATATAGATCAGAGCAGACTTTTTTTTTTACTTTATATTTCTTGGGTTTTTTTTTTAGTCTGTGTTTTCTTTTACAACATGACTAATATGGAAATGTTTTGCATGACTACACATGTATAACCTATATCAAATTGCTTGCCTTCTCAATGAAGAGAGTGGGGAGAGAGGTAGAGAATTTGGAACTAAAAATTTTAAAAACAAATGTTGAAAATTGTTTTTACATGTAATTGGGGGGAAATTAAATACTAACCGGGTAAGGGGGTGGAAAGAATAATGCCAAGATTCGTAGCATCAGGTGTATGATTTGGCTAAATGATCTCTACGGTTTTTAAATTTTTTTTATTGATCCCTTTTGTTTTTCATAGCCTTCATTTCCAAAAATCACTTTTCCCTCTCCTCTACTCAATAAGCCATTTCTTGTAACAAAGCATAAAAAAGAGTGGGAGGAAAACCCAATTGGACAAAACTAAGCAGCACGTATCTGTATAGTTATCTCTTCCACATCATGGAGGTTAGGGATGCCTCCACCATCTGGAAAATCCATGTGAAATTTTTTGGCCTTCCCATTGTACCAGAGAAGAAGTCTGAATTTTTTTTTCTTTTATGGTGTGTTTACAGTACCTTATTGTAAAATTTGGGTTAAGAATTTGGTCCTAGGCATATTTTATGCATTTCTAAGTTTCTAAACTTTTCCTCTGTTGTCTGTTGGCCTTCGTGTGTCATCTGCAGCTTCCGCAAAACTCTCCCAAAATTCCCATTTACAGTAATTTCTTATGCCAACCCATAATATATTGAAAGTCACAATGTAAAAGGGATAACTGTAGTCTGACAATAGATGCAGTATTAGTCCCTCACTTCTGCAAAGAAGGAAGGGGGGTACATTTGCTTGTTTCTTCTCTGGAATGGTCTTGTCCATTAGAATGTGAAATAATGTACATACAGCACTTTGTGAAATATAGAAGTTTATAATCTAGTGTCTAGGTACTAGTTTTTACTTGTTGTCATTGTTCTTTCTCATTTCCCTTATTGTAGTCATACCTGTAAGGTAGGGGTCCCCATGGACAGATTTCAAAGGGTCTGTGAATTTGGATGAGGAAAATATTACATCTTGATTTTAATAGAATTGGTTTCCTCGGTAAACCTATGTATTTTATTTTATGCACTTAAAAACACGATTTTGAGAAGGGGCCAAAGGCTTCTTCAAACCACCCAAGGGCTCCAGGACACCAAAAATGTTAAGGCTCACTGCCCTAAGTCCCTTGCAAACGAGTAATTCTCTAATTCCAGGTAGCCGTGGAATAGACGGTACCCCAGGACCAGATGGCTTGCCAGGGCTACCAGGTCCCCCGGGAACCCTTTCTCTTGGCCATGGATTTCTCATCACACGTCATAGCCAGACCACAGATATACCACAATGCCCCCGAGGAACTGTCCAGATCTACAGAGGGTTTTCTCTCCTGTATGTGCAAGGAAATGAGAGGGCCCATGGCCAAGACTTGGGTGAGCTGCTCGTCAATTTCCATGTGACTGTGTTGTCTTTGGTTCTGGAAAGCCAGTGGGGTCAGGGTAAGAGTTATCGAGGGTAGCATTAACCAATGAAGACATGGTTCCACCCTGTTGGTTTTTTCAGAACTGAGAAGCCGTTTAAGGGTGGCAACGTGTTTCAACTTACACTACTGATATTTTTGTTTTTAAGGTTAAGTGCCAGGCCCCAAGCGATGGTATAGAAAGGGCCCCTTTACTTTTTGCTAGCCACAAAAGAAACTGTAGGAGGTATTTGGGTGGGTGACAGAGCAGACAGGTGCATTGGCTTTCCCCTCGTCTGTCTGATCTTCAGTCGGGTTCCCAGGCAAGAGGAAGTGGGCTTGGGGCTAACTGCACCAATGGTGCAATCCTTAAAATAAGCACATTCGCTTCTCAGGGAGACTTATTAGAGACTTTGAAGGCTCCATAAGGAGTTATATTGCATAGTTACATAGAGTACATTCTTTGGGAACACTCCTACCCCAGCGAGTCCCTTTCCTATCAGTTTGGTTGGGGAGGGGGTTAGAAAGCAGAGAGAGGAAGTGTCAGAGATCTGTTTATATTGTAACTTAACAAAAGGTCAGGAGGCCCTTTCTGGAATTTTGTTTTAGAAGCTTAGGGCCCTCAGATTAACTATGGGATGCTGGGCTACCATCTGTATGGGGGGGGGGGTCTTGAGCTCAGTCCAATTGTTCTCTTGCCCCCTTTCTTCCCCTGGTGAACTTCCAAAGTTCCTCAAACTTGGCTGGGGAATGGGTGGTCGCTACAGGGGAAGGAGTCCCATTGTTGCCCTGGGGGTGAATGGAGTTCATGCTCAGTTGGGGCTTGCCTAGCCATCATGGGCCCCAGGCATGGAAGTCCCAGGTCAAGTGTGCGACAGCCAGGGGTCCCCAACCGTTTATGAAGCTGATCAGAGCAAGGGGGGGTAGTTCATCCTTTCCTCACATTCCCCTTTTCTCCCTTTCTTTCTGTCACCTCCTCTTCTACTTTGCTCATTTTTGCCTCTTCTGAGTGTGCCCTTCTATCATTTTTCACTGGTCTCCCTATCCTATTCTTCCTATTCCCCTTTCTCTTTTTTTCCATTGTCTGAGTCATCTAGTTCATAGGATCCTAGACCTAAGGTTGGAAGAAACTTTGGAGGCCCCTTATTTTACAGATGGGGAAACTAAGGCCCAGAGAAATGAAATAACTCACCCGAGGTCACACATAGGATCCTCAATCTAGAGCTGGAAGGAGTCTTAGAGGCTAGCTAGTTCAACCCTCAAATTGTAGAGGCTCTTTGTTTCTTCCTCTAAATTAGAGGAGGAAAATTCTCCAGAGAGAAGTGACCTGCCCAAGGTGACCCAGAAAATAATTACGGCAGAACTGGGATCTCTTTGACTGGAGCTGAACTCTCATCTCATCACCCTCCTCATCCTCCATTCCTGTCTTCTTCCCTAGGGACGTCTGGCAGCTGCCTCCACCGCTTCAGCACCATGCCTTTCATGTTCTGTAACATCATCAATGTATGCAACTTTGCCTCCAGAAATGACTACTCTTACTGGCTGTCCACTCCCAAGCCCGTGCCAGTGACCATGGAGCCACTGAAGGGACAAAGCATCTTGCCATTTATCAGTCGGTGAGACCTCAGGACCAGTTCTCAACCTTTACCCCCTGCCGCCCAAAGACATCTCCCTTAACTGTAGGTCGAACCCTCAGCAATTCCCACTTGGTTTGGTGGGCAAAGATAAAGGCCTTTCCCTTGAGATAGGGAGAGGCAGGACAGTGGTTGGAACAGAACAGCCTTTCCAGTGATCTGATACAAACATTTCAGTCCTCACAGTGCAAAGGATACTTTCTAGGCACTGTATTTGATCTGTTGGGAATAGGAAGACTTCAGGGCCTGCCCTTTGGGTCAGATCCTTGAGATATCCAGCCAAAGATACTGTTGCTAGTCTAGGCCTTACAATGAGATCTCAAATTTTCTTGGTAGCCACCTATGGCTAGATCATTCCTCAAGATGCCCAGACCCCTTTGGAATTCCATTTTATTTGCCTGCTGATACATTCATTACCCTCACTATGAAGTCAGCCTTCTGTTACTTGTCTTAAAACTCTCTCAGTGGAGAAGGGGGGGCGGGGCAGAGTGAGATGGTAGTTATTTTAGGGGA